GTAAGAGGGGGAAAAGGGGGGGGGGGAGGGGAAGGGAGAAGTTCACCACAAAAGCTTGGTATAAGAAATTCTTAAAGCGAAAGATAATAAACTTACGCGAGAGTACTACTTATTTGCTTCTTTATCAATTCTAATTTTCGATCACCTGAACTGTTTCTGATACTATAAAATATTTCTTTTTTTTTTTGAGTAAAAGGGGAGGGTTGGAATGTTCAGGGAGACAGCTCAGCCTCTACTTCATTACCCATAGACTTTAGCTCTTGCAAAGCGTTATTCTTAGTTTGTTCATGACGCTCTTTCTGTGCTCTAGATCCCTTCAACGACAGGGCCTTCTCTTTTTCAGATCGATCCTTACCAGACTTCATAAATGCGTCTATAATTTTCGTCATCTTGTGCCCCAGGTGCTGTGTTAAGGTGGCCCATTCCACCTCGTGAGTTCGACGCCATTCGATGATTTGCATCACCGGCAAATCATTTTCCGCAGGCTCCGTGTATTCCGGATCGTGATGGATATCCCTCGGGTTGGATAAAGCGTAGCTCACCGCAATATTAGTATTAGATTGAGCTTTAGCCTCGTGTGCGTGTGGGGATTCCTTTTGGTTTGATTTCCGATGGGCGTCCGGTGCCAGAGAGGAGGCGCTGCCGCACTCGCCTGCCATACACAACAATTTCGCGAGCATCGGACTGGTAGTTCCCAACAATCGGTACACCTCATAATGCTGATCCTCATAAGTGATAACGAGATGGCGTATTAGCTGAAGAATAATCTCCAGCTCGTCGACATCTTTTTGGTTAATGGCGAGGATAAAGCGCTCAAGGAGGAGACACATCGAATGGAGGTTGTGGGCATTCGCATCCATCAGCTGCACAAGCAGTTCCATGTCTACCTTAATGTAATGTTTAGACATGGCCAATAGGTAAAATGCGAGGCGGTCACGCGTATCAAAAAGCTGGGTTGAATTCTTCATACGCATTCGAACCCAAGAGCTATTGCGTATAGCAATCGCGCTGATAGAGACAACAATTTCGATTCCTAAAACAGTCGGAAAGGGATCTAACAAGCGCTCGACGTTTAGAAGTAAATTGTTGATATTTTTTAAAACATTATAAGCGTGATTAGGATCTGATAGCTCAGATTTAGAAAAGTGCCGTACCACCTCCTCGAGTATGATGCGGATTAAGTATGGAGACTGCGTATCGCCCTCACGGATGCGCCGCACCGCGTCCGCCTTGCTGCTATGCGTAAAGTCCAATACGAGCATTTTCCGTATAATATATCGGATATGGGTTATGACAGCTGATGGAAACTTTTTGGACCAGTGAAGATTTGTATTCGTACCAAGAGGGCTACCCCCCGAATAAGACCGCCGATAACTAACAACGGGGCTAACTGCATCCCAAAGCCACTCCAACCAGGGGTAGGGCAGTAGCGCTTCGCCATTTTTATCTATATCAATTATCTTTTCCAAATATAGCAGTACCCGTATCACAACACGGTCTGAAACTTCATCACCATAGGAGGATGTCAAAAAGGTGCTGGTGAGGGTGCTTTCTTGAACTGTCGCTCCACAGGTATCGGCTAAATCGTTCTCGGAGCTATTAATACGCGATGCGTGAAAAGAATTGCCGATGGTGGTAATAAGGCAGCCAAGGACTTGAAGTGCCACTTTAAATGCTTGTGGCACGCGAAGAGTGGTGTTTGGGGTGGACTTATTGCGATATGCGTCATCAAACTGTAGAGAAATGCTTGACTTTCCAAAATCATGCGCGATTTCGAAACTATACTCACGGTGAGTAACCTTGAGACGTCTGGAAATGAGTCCGGGAGAATGGCCAGTCAAATTAAAACTCTTTTGAGCCCCATTCATGTGGTTCGAAGCAATGTCCATGTTTGGCGATGAAATGCTTCGGGATATCAAACTATTTGTGTTGAAACGGGATGTAATAGTTTCATCCAAGTTCTCCGTCGGGAGATAGTCATCAAAAGCCATATGAAACAGACAATCCAATGTGGGCAGGCGTATTGGCACACCGGATACTTGATTAGTAATGGCGCAAGAAATGACCTCAAACTTGTTGGACCTGTAAAACGCCTCGCGGAATTTGCGATTAATATGCAGCATGAGGGAGAGAAGGCGCAAAGAAAATACCCGAATAACCTCCTTGCAGTGGTTCTTCCCATGAATTAGCATGATAAGAAAGGAGGCCCCGCAACCCTTAAAACAGGATCCGATCCAATCGCACATCATCACATTAGTCCTGGCAACGTCAAACAACATACGGAGAATTGCAGCCTTGGTGGTATCCGCGTTAGGATGGAGTGGTTGAGGGAGCAACAAGAAACGCAGCGTATGCTCTAGCTCCGCCACACCTTTGCACAACTTCTCAATCAGAATAACAACTGCCTCAATACACTCTGGAGGGAGATCGAGACTCATAAAAAGAATACGTTCAAAACGTTTTGGGGCTTCTTTAAAAAGCCTTAGATTTTCACTATCGCACAAATAGTCACTTAATTCACGCAATATGATCGCAGCGGTGGTGGGATTGCGCGCAACGTGGCCTCCTTCAGTGGCACGACACACCACATCAAGACGTTCGATGAGTATAGAAAAAACCGCTTGTGTGCTTTGATGCGGACGAAGGGTTCGGGTGCTACCACGAAGTGTGGCTCCTAGAAGCAAAATCACAGGGAAGTCTGGAAAAGTGTCTGACCAAGTTAATATTTCATTATTTAAGTCTGTCAGATATGAATCCTTCAGAATAGCATTAAGCTCAGCATCGGTGTTAGTTATGCGCATAGCTGCGGAAACGAATTCAAGACAAAGCTTTGCGATAGTTTTAAAATTAGGGGATCCATGTGATTCTTTTAAAGTTTTCAGTGCCCATGGTAGTATTCCGCATTCCTGAATCTCTTCTTGCACAGAACCTGCCATGATAGAGTAGACTCTACAAACTGAAATGCTATCACACTTGCTGGAAAGACTTCCCTTTATGCTAGCACACGATTCAACGGTCGAATCGAGGTTACTTGTGAAGACTTTCTCATTGCTAGATTGAGCTAAGGGTGTTGTAGCGCCTATTGAAAGCAAAACACGAAATTCGCTCCCTTCAATCGAGTTGGGGCCTTGTGCATAAAGCTTTACAATATCCTTTTCGCTGATATTACCTTCCAGAATGTTCATGCTGGTCACATAACCGAAAAAAGAGGGGTCCTCCGCGGTGCCACCAAAGGAAAAGTAGAGCTTCTGGCGTTTGAAATGATATTTGGGGAATGGAGCTCTGAAGTCTGTACTTAACTTTCTACTATTAACATAAAAAATTATTGAGGAAATGCCGTGTGTAAAGGCAATATGTGACCACGTATTCGCATAGAAGATGCTATCGGGCACCAAAAACACTGTGGATTCCTTCAATGTGTGCACACGTACTTCGAGAAAACAAGAGCGTCCGTTAGCCACTACGATAATCTCAACCGAGGTGCCTGGGCTGATGGTATAAGAAAAAAGACGGCATCCCTCTGTCCACACACAGAGCGGATGAATCCACGCTGAAAAACTGTACCCGGACCACCTTCCGACAAACTGACTCAATTCGCACCTAACGCCACCATTCCCTGGAAAAAAAAGAGAACGGTGGGGAACGTAGGTATGGCTTAACACATAGAGCAACAATTCCTCGATGTTGACATCAGTTTGACAGGGCGGGGTCGTGGACATATCCTTAATGCCTTGCATGAGAAGATGTAAAATGCGTTTGGGGAAGCATAATGATGCAAGAGAACACATAAAAGATAGCGCCAATTGTATTGTGCTTGTTGTCGGCTCCGTAGTGGCAGGAGAGACAACGGTGAAACCATCCACACCGTCGAGTTTTAAGCCTCCTTTAGTTTCGTTTATGCGTACGGTATTCATAAAGATGCCACTCTGACGATTTGTGGCGACCGCAAAGAGGCATTGAAACATCTCCTTCTCTGCCAGACGTTTGGCATTGTACGGGTTGGCAAAGCACATGAGCGCCAAAGTTGAAATAAAGCACCGAAGCATGGACTCCGCCAAGGCGCTACTCGCATCCAGTCCCAACAAGCAAAGCTCTAGAATATCAATGCTCTGTGAGGTGAATATGCAACAGGAGATAGACGAGGCAAACTGCCACACCCAAGGCGCGCCTCCCGCCAGGATGGTATCCCAGTGGAGAGGAATTGGATTGTAGTGGGACTGGGTTGCGGCCTGAAAGCCGGTGCCAGCCCCTCTAGGGGTGATTCCTGTAACATGCGTGGCGGTTGTCAGGGTGCCACTGCGGGGGCTGCTGGAGTTGCACTGGAGCTCGTTATCCAAGATCGAACTCAGGGCCATCCGTCGTAGGGTGAAGCTGTCTTCTGAGCACAGCTCCATCACCAACTCAAGCAGTTCGGATTGCCAGACCTGAAAGGTGTCCAAAGTAACCACGCTGTCCTTGGGGGTTGGCGCTGGGAGGGGTAATTCCAACTTCATATAGGACAGCCGAGAGGCCGCGAAGGTCCAGACAGTGCTGAATTCATGCCCGTAGCCGGAGGTCACCAGCGTCTTGCACGCGTCGTTGCCTCGGAAAAGCCCCCCGATCAAGGACAGGTAGACGGCGCACAACGCGACTTCATAGTCCTCGTTCACGGAAGAAGGGGAGGGCGCGTCGTCGCCATCGTTCATTACTACTAACGCCGTGGACCTCACATTATAGGCACTTTGCAATAGTGAGGTGATCGATTTAATGCGACGCTTAGACAGACTCTTGACCACCGCTGAATCGAAACCAAGGGCGCTGACTCGATGAAGAGCGGTTACCAACAGGGAAGCTAAATAAATTTGAATCGGACGAATTGTGGACGTTAACTCATATTTAATAAAACTTTGATGTTGTTTGATCATTGACTCGGTGGTCTTTATAGACACTTTGTCATTTTCCATTGTACTGGAGGGCAGCACTACTAGGAATGGAATTATGGCTTCTACCAGTTCGTCTAAAAGCTCTACTTGGTTCCCATAAAGTTCAACCAACACCAGGGCAAACATATCACGAACTCGTTTGGTAAGCGGCGTCTCCATAAAATACTCAACCAAGAGCAGATGAAGATTGCAGATTGCAAGAGGGGTACAATTAGTAAGGACGTTAGTATGGCAAACAATGCGGGCTGCCTCTAATGTCATCACCATCACCGACTCTGAAATTGAAATACGCGCACTTCTTTTGTCATCAGAGCTGAGATGAAATAAGAGTTCATCTGAGAGGCTAGACATCCACAGCTTAACCACCGAGGCGTCAACTGCCATTCGATTTTTCTTCCATAAATCCTCAATCTGTTTTGAGGCAGAAAGAAGATCCTCCTGAGATGGCCTGACATTTTCGTGATGGACAGAGCTTACTAAACGTCGTATACTGGTTACTGCATGCTGAGCTATTTCGGCAAAATTGTCTTTTGAAATCCTATTCTGCATAACTGAAAGTAATACCTAGATGCAAAAACTTGTATAAAGACAGTGATGTGGTAAAGCTGTAAAGATTCAACATGTACGATAGAATGATATAATAAAGAATAAATATTTCTAGTAAATAAATTGTCCTTGAAAAAATGGACTTAAATAAGCAACTGCTGAAAAGTCAAATAAATAGGATTTTCTATATGCACATCATGCTACACCATGTTAAATCAAAAAAAAGAATCAGGAAGTCGTTTCATCCCTGAACGCCATGAGACATGCTCATCATTTTTATCTAACTTTAGTGTGAGATATAGGGAAAGAAAATCTAAATAAAAGGAAAAGGCCAACAAAACTAATGCATATAGTTTTCCATACAATACAAAAGTCACCTGTAGAAACGGTGTCATATTTCACTAAAATTAATGAAAGTTATAATAGTGAAAATGGTGTGCTGAAAACAAAAGTTTAACATATGATGCAACAACTCGGTCGGTTATCTTTTGTTTTTTTCGTTAACAGCTCATAATTTTTCCCCTTTGATGTAGAAGGGGTTCCCAAAGTAGAAGCATTACCAGATAAATCGCAAATCCTTCGTGTCGAAGGAGAATTATGATTCCGATCTTTCCTCAAGTTATTTAAAGTATTAGTGTTAGCTTCACTAAGAGAGGATGATATTGGTATGTTGCCGTTCTTTTTAAGATTAGAACCACCTGTGTTTCTCTGTAATTTCTGAGACCCTGTCGATGGGTCAACTGTCATGTTCATATCAGTTGGGCTACGTACAAAATGATGCTTTGAGGTGGATGAGGCTTTTAAATCAACATGCGACGCTATGTGTGAGTAAAGATCAGTATGCTGAAGGTTGTGGTCGTTTTCAGACTCCTGCGCATCCATATGGTGTATCACTTTCTTGTGGTTGGGGGGCATTATTGAGAGATACGAAGCCTTATGTATGGAAGATGGAGACAACTCAAAAACATTTGCATTATTACTGTTAAACGAGTCCTTAGACAGTTGAGAAAAGGGTATCACTGAATGCTCACTTTTAACTAACTGAACATCAGTACCCCGCGAAATAATATCTCGGCAGGGCATTTCACCTAATGGGCGCTGATGGCGCATTAACACAATCACCAACGCCTCTAAAGAGACGTGATTGGTTTGCTTTGGATCTAGCAATCTAATTACCGCCTCAATTTCTTGTTGAGACATTGAAGATGCCGGTGAATTTAACGTACCAATCAACTCTTTAGTTGTGAATATACTACTTCCATTCTTATTCTCTAGTTCGTACGCGAATTGATGTACGGCAGCCATGCACATGTCACGTGTGTCTACAAGCTCCTCACAAAGCTGCAAAAATTGCGAAAAATAAATTCCACCGTCCGAAGAGGAAGGAATACGTGTCAAGAATGATTCAATCTGTGAGGAACTAGGGTAATATCCCATTTCACGCGCGGCAATCAGAACAAAGAAGTAAGGGATATACGATTCCTTCTCGCAGATTTCATTGTTAATGTTTGGCTCAACCGAAAACGTTTTGAAAACCGCATATGAGTGATTGATATTTACATCGCGCATTTTGAGATATATATATTAGATCCAAGTAAATAATAGTGAAATAAAAGACTAAGATGCAGAAGAAACGCTTCTAGATAAGCAAGATAAAGAAAAAGCGTACCCAATGTGTATAAATATAACAACAATTTTTTTTTTTCGGTGATAACACATTGTGTAATAACATCCTTTTTGAAGGACTAAAAAAGCCTATTACAAGTTGAAATATCAATGTGCTGATGTATTTTCATTTGAAGCAGGAAGCTGTTGTCTAAGACAACCTACACGTTCCGTTATAGCCTCCACATTACGCAAAAGGGTGGTATGATTCTTTTTTACGGTATCCTCGAAGCTACCCATAGCCTTTAACAGGTTCTCCAACTCTGAGCTAAATTCCAGTGAAGTGGTCTCATCCAACTCATTGAAGGCCCTTGACCGCCCGATGGCGCTCTCCATGATAGGAACTATTAGGTGAAGTCGATCAACCAAAGTAGCAAACTCATTGGTAAGCTCCTTCGCATCGGCTACGCTTGCTCGGAATTTGATCACGTCTCCGACCACCTGCTCGGCATTATTACCATCCAAAAAACGATGTTTAAATGGATCCTGGTCGAGAAGCTCACGGACCTCACGCCACACACGGGCCCTTTTCATTGCTTTGAGTGCTCGAGCCTGCAAAATATCGACCCCTTTATTGTGTAAAAGCCACGCGTAGCTGTCCGGGCTCCTGAATGGGGTTGGTTGGCTCTGTTCTATGATGGATAGAGCAGTAAGAAGAGCGGCACACTCGGAATGGATCGCGCGCAGGGTGTAGGATGCGCGCATGGAGCGTTGAATCTTGCTGACCATAGGGCCTAAAGGATCGATTTGCGTATCCGAGGGAGCGATGTCCGCACTAGGGGTTCGCGCACTCAGTGGGATCCTAGACACCAGACGCGGTGGGGCGTCGATCGAGAGCGCTTCTCTTAGTTGTCTAAACGCATCGGCGGGATCCCACTTTCGTGAAGGAAAGGATAGAGAGGTCATTGTAGAATCTAAAATAATGCATTCCGGCGGCGGCGGCGGCGGGACCGACGAAGACGGAATGGACGCGTCATCATTGGATGCAAACTGACCATACCCCTCATAAACATCTTCAGGGGTAATGCATAACTGTCGAATGTTTTTCATTTTATACTACACTAGGAAGGAAAAGGATACATCATAGAAAAAAAAAGAGGAATAAATAATGAAAAGGTAAAGTGCTGTATGTAAGTGCAAAAACAACAACTTCTACATCTAACACGTTAAGATAAAGGGACTAAACACAATCGCAAGTTAATATTATTTCTATTCGAGCTATTGCTCGTTGAGCGGTAGTCAGTAACTACGATCTAAGTATCAAAAGATTTTCCACTGAAATAAAGAAGCAAATTTTAAAAAAAGCTAAGGCTCTATTAGTGAAAAAAATGTTAGCAATTACATAAAACTATATGCACAGAAAAAACAAATATCTAAGATAAGAATGTTATTTCCTCAATATTTATGACATCAAGAGGGTTCGGTGTCGCTGAAGTTCTTGATCCCGTACTTTGATAGTTTCTTGGAGGGCAAGAATTTGTTCGCCTTGTGTATGAATGGTATTATCCTTCCTGGTCACAGCTACTAAAACGCGCTCATTGATGTGGTTTAGTTCAGCATGATGCCTCTGCTCCATGTTACTTTGTTCTATTTCAAAACGATTTCGCTCTGCGTGAAGTTCGCGTTTCAGTGCGTCCATTTGAGTTTGTAGTTCAGATGTCTCGCTGATATGATGAGTTTCAACCTCGTTTAGTTTTGTACGCCATGCATTATCCAAAATGCTCATTTTGGAATCGTACTGTGATCGGATGCGAGTCTCAATTGCTTTTATGTTCAGCTCAGAAAGATTGCAGACATCGCGCATGCTTTCCATTTCCTTCTCCTTTTCTTTCTTCGCAAGAAGCACGGCTTTTATCTGCTCACGAATAAGTTCCAGCTCGACATGTAGTCGTTCGTTCTCATTTTGAAGCTGTCCGTACCGCTCCCTGAGCAGGTCATCGGTACCACGGGAAGAATTTAGCAGACGCACCTGCTCAGCTTTGAGCTGCTGCGTCACCTCCAGAATCGCCGCGTCGCGCTCGATTTCAAATTTCTTCCGCAGTTCATTTTCTTTGGTGTGCAAATGACGCGCATTTTGTTCGGCAGCCGCCTTTTCACGACAGCTGAATTCCAGCATCAGCTTCTCCTTCAGATGTTCCAACATATTATTGGACTTCCCGGTCACGCGCGCCACGCCTTCCGCGACGGCCTCGTGCAGCCCCGCCCGCTCCTTCGTGAGGCTGGTTTGGAGCTCCAAAACCTCCCTCCCGAGCCGCTCGATCTCGCGCTGGAGGGTGTTTTTTTGGTCCTCGAAGAAGGACTCCATTTGCTGGCATTTGGCCTTTTCACTGCGCTGGTCCTCGCTGAGCTGGCGTCGCATTCGCCCCACTTCCTCATCTAGGCGGGCCTCGAAGGCCTGATGCTCCCGTCGAAGGGCGGCCTCGGCGTCCCGCTGGAGGCTCGACTTAAGCTCGTCCACCGCAGCCTCCCTTGCGGCGATGACTTCATCCCGCTGGCGGAGTTCGTTCTCGAAGCCCTCGCGAAGCCGAGACAGTTCGGCTTTATGGCGGTTTAACAACAACACAATGTCCGGCTCGAGCGATCGCAGGGTAGTCTCTTTAATGCGTTTAGCCTCCGCCAGCTTCCAGCGCTCCCGCGCGGCCTGCTCCCGGACCTGCCATTTCCCTTTTAAGGTTGTAATCGTCGCGGCCTTGGCGGATTCCATCGCGCGGCGGTCCTCCTCGCGATGGGCGAGCTCATGGCGAAGTTGGATGGAAAGAGCCTCGACGTTTTTCGTCAGGTCCTCTTTTTCTTTTGTAAGGGTGGTGAGCTGGAGTGAGGTCGCTTTCTTCTGCGCCGAAAGCGCGCGTTTAAGGTCGCTGAGGTCGTTTTGGAAGGTCGCCTTCAGCTCCTCCCGACGAGTCACCTCCTGTGCATGCCAACCTTCAAGGCGCTGCCGAAGTTCCACATTCTCACGGTGGAGCTCGTTTTTCTCGAATTTGAGTCGTTCGATTTTGTTTTTGATCCCCAAGTACGTCGCTTGGGCGTTTTCCGCCCCTTCCTGAGCTTGCATTAACAACTCAGTAGGTGAAATGTAAACTGAGGCGGCCTTTTCTTGCTCGCCATGAAGTGAAGGAGATTCGATGTTGGTGTTCTGATATTGAGTGGAGCCGGTGAGGGGGAGACCTGAAAGAGTGGATGCGGAGTATACGCCGACCGCCGCCGCACCATCCAAGTAAGACAAAATATTCGCTACTTTCGCCTCATTAATCTCGCGCAAGTCTGAACAGCTGCTGAAGTGATCATGGACCGACTGCTGCATGAGTGGAGGGATTTAACTGTAAAGTAACCACCTTAATATACGAAGATTATGGATTTATGTCTATATCTATTTAGATGTTTCTCTAGCTTCGCACTCTCTATAGTAAATCAATAAACCAGTACATAAAAATAAATAAATGGAGAAGCCTAGAATCCTTGTGCATGTTTGCTCATTGCTATCGGCGTTCTGATATTTTAGTGAACATTCACAGTGAAGATTTCAAACAGAAAGTTCCACTGTAAAAAATATATATAGACCACTATATGTAATGACAAACTTTCTTCGTTAACCACTGAAATTCACTCAGAAATGCAAATAGGTAGTTGCCATCAACCAGGACACAAAAATCCTACTAACTCAAAATATTCATCCAAGGGTAGGACATAGGTTGCCTAGTTAAACATATCGAAATCATCAACTTGTAAACGAGAAAGTTGGACATCGACTTCAATAAGGTATGAAGTTAACTCGTAATCAACTAGAGACGAAAGTTTTTAATTCGGTGAAAAATCTAACTGTATTAAAGCGTGTTTCGATATAATATCGCAGTCATTTTCTATGGGATAAAAATTAGAGTCTATTCATGTGTCTATATACCGCTGTGTTCAAAAAGACTTGAGCACACGCCAGTTTGAGAGGTGAAAGAAGATATGATTCCTGTTCCTCAATGAGAGTCCTACTTGCGTGGTAGGTGTGCTCGTTTGCCAGTAGAAATGATCATTGTACGCAAAAAAAAAGGGCGAATCCATTAGGAAGATAATTTCATATGAAGCTCCTTCAGGTTCTGCATATTAAACAGGTGTCGTAGTGTCGGCCGTCCGTGAGGGCACGCCCATGGTTGTTCAATTTCGCTCAAATTATTCAAAATAGTGCGCATAGTGGATTCAGACAGTGCGGTACCAATCATTATGCTGCTTCGGCACGCTTTCGTCGCCATAGAGTGCCACACAGACCGCAAAGGTTGATTAATGGAACCATAGCGTACCAGCTGCTGAATAAGCTCAAGGACGTCAGCCGCATTGACAACGTCGTAGGGGAGGATCGGGATTGAGCAGACTAGAAGCTTCGTTGCGCAATCACCTCGTTTGACTTGAAATCCATGAAGTTTGAGTTCCTCGCTATGAACCAGAGCCAGCTCCACTTCCTCCGCATTCATTGCCACTGGCATTGAGACCACGAGCGGCTGCGGCTTCGCCACGTACGCACGCATAAGCCGCTCATAGTTATACTTTTCATCCGATGCATGTTGATCAATCACAAAGAGGTTAGTGCCGAGCATGGCGATAATAAAGCCATGATTAAATTGACCAATTATTTGCATTTCTTTAAAAGATATTTTATGGAAAAACTTTTCCAGTTCCTCTGATGTTTGCTCCTGAAAGTTGGAAAAGTTATTCCGTCGAGTTTTACGGGCGCATGTATGTGAAGGCATATCCTCGTGGATATTTTTCGAATTTTTCAATACCAGACTTTGTCCTTCTAAGTTTTCCCATGTGGGAAAGTTTACTGAATTGGTAATTGACCCCCTCTCGCGTACTTGATTCAGATTGTCCGAAAGAATAATACACTCATCGCTCTCCGACGAGTCGGTTAATCCTTCTCCTTCAACCCTTCTGCGTTTGGATGTAGACATAGGTTCATTTGTCTCAATTTGCTCTGATGCACTGTCTTGAGAATGCTCAAGATCCCCTCCTGATGCAACATCCTTTTCAATACTAATAAGAGGACTACAACTTTCATTCAGGGTACTATCCTTCCCCTCTATATCCTCATCTAAGACAAATACATAACCATTATCCTCCAAAGGATTTGTAATCGTTGATTGCAATTCCAAGGTATCCGCATCGGTCGTGTTAGAATATAACAAAGGGTCAAGTTTACTAAACTCCACAAAAGAAGTGGGTTCAGCATGTGGCATTGCTCCTGGAAGTGAATCGTTCTTTTTGAAGATGTACTCAGTAAAGGAAGTAGTGGAAACTGGTGTGAGGACCTGTCTCGTGACGTTGTTCGCTTGAAGATGAGCCGCATGGATGCGGGCGATTCTTGCCTCACGGGTGATTTCAATACTTTCCGAAGCGGTACGAAACTCGTTGAGAGCTATCTCGCGTAGCTCCTCAGCCATTTTTTCCTCATTTATCATAACCACTTTGCGTTTGTTAGGAGTGAGATTCACATCGTACTTGTAGCGATCTTTCATTGTGATCTGTAGGAAAAACTCAACGGATAGCTTCTGCGAAGAGTTCGGAAGGCATTGCGTGAAACAATCATTAATTGTTTTAGCGAGGCGAGGTAAATCGACCGGGCGGTGGTCGAGTGAAAAGATTTGATGATCCGTGCTCATCCGCCCGCCAGATCCGACCTTAGCCACAAACCCTTCAATACTTCCGAAGGAGCAGTCCCAGTGAACACGCACCATCCGCGATGAACACATCCCGCCGTAGGACTCCGTCACGCTGCGCAGGAGATCATTCGATCCAGTGAGTGAAATCAACGTTGCCAGGGCACTCGCGGGGTTCTCCTGGTGCACCAGGACCAGTCGCAACCTCGGGTGTGACACCGCATACTGTTTGAGCAGGTTCACCGCCCGCAGGAGCTGTTTTCGGGCGTTCCGCGCGAACTCCTTGTGCCGGACCGGAAAAGGCCTAAAGAGGTTCTCGGCTGTTACAATAGTGCCAACGGTTTGCGGCGTCCGTGAGAGTTCCAAATGAACGTTGTGGGCCTGGTGGTCGTAGACGATCTTGACGGCGCGGGGAAATCCGCTCTCGTGGAGGGTTTCAATCGTCACATCGCTGACCTGTGCCAAGGAGTGCAACGCCTCGCCGCGGAACCCCAGGGAAGGAGGGCTGCCAACGTGCTCGAAATCCGCCATCGTCACCGGGATCGATCCTTTGGCGAGGGCTAGTTTAGTGGTGGCGCGGCACATTAGAAGAGGCGTGGTGCCCTCATCGACTATCCCCTGTGGGTTGGACTCCTCCAGAACATCCCCCATCGGTATCCCGTCGCCATCATCCTCAACGACAATCTTGGTCAAACCGTAATTATAAAGTCGGATGGTGACCACACTCGCGTTAGCGTCAAGGCTATTCTCCAATAGCTCTTTCACCACACTTGACAAGTCGGTGATAACTTGCCCAGCACTAATTTTTCGAGTACTTGCTGCATCTATTCTCCTAATCATAGTAGTTCTTTGTTGTCATTTTTGTTGAGTGAAAACAAGTAGCAGTTGAGAAAAGAAATAGTAAACATATAGTATTGAACGCCCATTTAATACGATAAACTCAGAACATACTCTTTTTAGTTCGCTTCGCGAATGATTTATTTATTTACTAAAATGAACAAGACTATCTGCTGCATAAAAAATAGCACCATTGTACCCA